AGGACCGAGTCTGTCACTGAGGACCGAGTCTGTCTGTGTGGACCGGGTCTGTCACTGAGGACCGGGTCTGTCTCAAAGGACCGAGTCTGTCTCAAAGGACCGAGTCTGTCACTGAGGACCGGGTCTGTCTCAAAGGACCGAATCTGTCACTGAGGACCGAGTCTGTCTGTGTGGACCGGGTCTGTCACTGAGGACCGGGTCTGTCTGTGTGGACCGGGTCTGTCACTGAGGACCGAGTCTGTCACTGAGGACCGAGTCTGTAACTGAGGACCGAGTCTGTCACTGTGGACCGGGTCTGTCTCAAAGGACCGAGTCTGTCACTGAGGACCGAGTCTGTAACTGAGGACCGAGTCTGTAACTGAGGACCGAGTCTGTCACTGAGGACCGGGTCTGTCTCAAAGGACCGAGTCTGTCACTGAGGACCGAGTCTGTCACTGAGGACCGAGTCTGTAACTGAGGACCGGGTCTGTCTCAAAGGACCGAGTCTGTCACTGTGGACCGGGTCTGTCTCAAAGGACCGAGTCTGTCACTGAGGACCGAGTCTGTCTCAAAGGACCGAGTCTGTAACTGAGGACCGGGTCTGTCTCCGAGCTCCCGAACCGAGCAGACTCGGTCTGATCCAGTGCTCCAGCATCTTACCGGAGAATAACGGGAGTCAAAGCGTCCCCGGTTCCTCCCGTTGGTCGTTTCTGTCTCATTAAATCACAGCAGCTCCGACAACAGACCGGAGACACCGGAGACCCGAGTCAAAGTTATCCGCTGTCGGTGTCCCCGGTGCAGCAGGTGTCCCTCCGGTAACACACCACTCACTCAGCCCGTCTTACCTTGTAGACATTCTCCGTTATACGGTGCACCTCGTCGGTCCGGGACATCCTTGTTGGAGCGTCAGTCACAACCATAGACTAAGATTTCCTCCGGTTGAGGCGGAGACGGTGGATCCGAGCAGCGGCGGGAGGACGTGTCTGTCTGCCGAGGACACTGAGACAAGCTCGTCCAGCCGTGGGATCCCGGCTTTTATAGGAAAGTCCTCCGCTGCGCCCACACCGGATCCCCACGCAGCCCGTCAGTCAGTCGGCGGCTCTCGGTTGGAGCGCAGAGGCGGACTCACCGTGAGAGGGGCGGTGCTGCGTTCAGGGGCGGTGGGAAATACAGAGCACGGCTCAACTGCGTCTGGTTAAAGGAGAGGACAGAGTCCGTGAGACATGCGAGAGGTTTCTTCTTTTTGTAGGTTATCGACTAAATATTTGGATAAACGGCAGATTGTCCAGCAGATAATCTGAATCTGTCAATCATCTACAGGTTGATATGTTAGTAATAAGTAGTTTAATGTTTCTTCACCAGAGCCAGGGGCGTTTCTAGGATTTAAAGACACCGGAGGCTGGACCTCCGGGGGGTCTGTGGGGATTTATTTTTTTATTTATGCATTTATTTTAGTTAAATTTATTGGTTAATTTTAATTTATTTATTTATTCATTTCTTTATGCATTTATTTTATTTTATATTAGTTGAGTTTATTAGTTAATTTTATTTATTTATTTTTTTCTAAATAGCGCCACATCACAACAGAAGTCATTTAAGGTTACCTTTCCTGTAGAAGAGGTCTATACTAGGGCTGCTTGAAAAAATCCTAATCACGATTATTTTTGTCAAAATTGAAAGCACGATTATGCAAACGATTATGTGGCACACATGATGACTTATATTGTTTATGCGACGGCATGTCATTTCTGTCTCTACATGGTCGCGCGTTTACAATTCTCCTCTGCTCTCTGTATCGCCCACGGCGGAGTTCGGCCCCGATGCCGCACCCGCAGACACATGTGCACACACAGGTGAGCACACTAGAGCGCGGCTCAGGCTGCATTTTCCTGACCAAGCCCGACCTGAGTTTGAGACAATTATAACCGAGCCCGGCCCGAACCCGACAGACTTTCTGATTTTTAAGTCCGAACCTAACCCAGGCCCGACAAAGTTTGTTACCTGACATAGTTATTGTTATGGACAGTGTGTGAAAGACAGCTGTTACGCACAGTCCCCACAATAAGACCAACTCCAGAAGATTCAGGTAATCTTGGAACTGATTCCAAGCTGACGGAGTAGCATAGTTGAACACCCTTTTTCCCAGGTCAGTGTGTACTTGAGGGACAGTTACTGGAATAAGTCCCGGGAGCAAAGACAATAACTTGCCATGTACAAGGCTGTAGCCGCAGCGGCCCGGGTTCGACTCCAGCCCATGGCCCTTTGCTGCGTGCCACGCCCTCTCTCTCTCTCTCTCCCCCTTTCACGCTTGTCTGTCCTATCGATTAAAGGCTAAAATGCCCCCCAAAATATCTTTTTTTAAAAAAGGAAGCAGTCCAAGAAGAAACTTATGAATAAGAATAGCTGCTACTTGTGTAACACACCCCAGTCTCCGACCAAATTATTAGCCACTGAGTTGTGGGTAATGTAGATGATAGGTTTTGGCAAGGAAGAAGAATAAATGGAATAAAAAAAAACAATATCCCTGGTTTGGTTCTGCTGTATCAATTTTGATAAAGCCGCATATATGAAGTGTGGATTTTAAAGCTGTGTGTGTGTTTTACAGGCTGATGTCTAAGCTGACGTTAGCAGACATGAATGTCCTGCTGTTCCGCTGCGACTCAGAAGAACAAGAAGATGGTGGAGGCTGTTACAGTATCCCAGGATGGGAGAGCCTCAAATATGCTGGACTGCAAGGTAGTTACACAACAGTTAGACCAGTTCATTAAGTATACAGTATACGGAAACAAACTAAGGACAGATAACTATAACAATCTTTTTTTTTTTTTTTTTNCCAACAGCCATCACGAGCAATGTGGGGTTCAGTATCTGCCCAAAGATGCTTCCACAAGTCTCAGCTGAGCAATGCTTCTACATTTTCTGTTATAATACTACAGAGTATCATTTATAGCCCACGCCGCTGACATTTTTCTGTCTCACAGACGCTTTCTGTTTCATCTGACATGATATGAAGTATTTCATTCATGGTTCTGATGACGTTGTGTGTAATTAACACCCTGCCTTCACATGAACGCACTCGTGGCTGGATAGGAAAACCCAGAGTTGACTGAACTGATCGATAACTAGCTCTGTAGTACCGATTATCAGACGGCCGATGTGACAAGTTAGTCAGGCCTGGGGTCATTTATAAACACTGCGTACCCACAAAATAAGACCCGCGCAATAGCTGTGATGTATGAAAACAGACTTGATGGGAGAAACCTTGACCCAAGCTTACGAACATTTGGAGACAGGAAATTAGCGACGCAGATGATGAGGTGGAAGCCCGATTGTAGAAACCGTCTAATATTTTTTGGGCACTCGCCAAACGTACATTTTTAGTTTGGACCCTACGCACTGTTTTATAAATGAGACTCCAGATTACCAAAAGCTGTCCTGGGTAAGTTGAGCGGGCTTCAGAGTGCAGGCCTCAGGTAGATCTTACTCAGTAAACATGTCACATGTTTGGATCAGTAAAAAGTAACTAAAGCTGGAGCATTTTTGATGATGAATTTTTCATGCTCCAGTTTTAGGAATCTGCTCCTCTGTAGCGCAGTAACAAGTGCAATATTCCCCTCTCAGATGTAGAGGAGTAGAAGTATAGAAATACTCAAGTTAAGTTAAAGTACCTCAACAAAGTACTTAAGTACTCGAGTAAATATACTCAGTTACATTCCACCACTGCAGTTAACCCTAACTAACTCTGACCAAAACAAAGTGGGACTTTACAGAGAGTCCCTGAATGCAGCATAGCATTTTAAATAAAGCCACGCCCCCTCTGCTGTGTCACACGCTGCCCACGCGCCGCCCCTGCTACAACCATTCAGAAGACCTGATGGAGCATCTCCACAGAGACACCTCAGCATCCAGCCAGTTATTCACAGGCTGATAATGATAATCTCATTTATTCACATGTATCTCCCCAAACATCAGCTCTGTGACGTCATCATGACGCTCCTACAGGCTGCACAGACCCTGAGAGCACCTGCCTGTAGGAGCTGACACCACTTGACAAACCTGTGCTCAGGTGTTTGTTTACCCAGCTGCTCCTGTTGGCTGCGTGGGCCCCGCTGCTGTGAGTGGGACGATGGAGCTCCGCACAGTGGGCCGGGGAATCCCACACATCTCAGCATGTCACGATCTGAAGGCCTGTCGACCAGAGAAGAAGAAGAAGACAACAGTGTGAAGGGACGGTCACGCCTCTCTGCTCAGCAGCTCAGAGATATTTTAGGAAAGCTGCTGGAGGAGGAAGTGGAGCTCAGTTTTGTTTTGGTTGTCACAGCTGATGACAGTCGGCCATGTTTGATCCTCAGCAGAGCAAACAGCAGCGTTCACACTGTCAGCGAGGACATCGATTCCTTCAGCCCCCTTAAATTAGTCTCCAGAGCTGACCGCAGGTTTCATCGTGTCTGCCGACCGCCAATCAGAATTAACCATAATGATTCTTAATTAATGACACAGAGCTGCAGATCTGAGCGTCACAGCTCCACTCAGGAGGATTTATATGGAATATAATCTGTCTGTATAATCAGCTGACAATCAGAATCCTTGTGTTCTCGTTACCTCAGGATGAGACGCTGATATCTACACAGGGAGCAGGTCCTCGTCTTTGGAGATCGCCATGTTGCACCGCCATGTTTCTACAGCAGCCCAGAACAGACAAACCAAACACTGACTCTAGATAGAGACATTCATATTTTCATCTCACCGCCGTGGTCAGCAGCATCGAAGAAAAACTGAGTTTTATGCCCGGAGGCGTTATGTTCTCGGGTCGTCTGTCTGCACGTACAGACGTCTGTCCGCCCCATCCTTGTGAACAAAATATCTCAAGAGACTCCTCAAACGAGTTTCATCAAATTTGGCACAAGGGTTGACTTGGACTCAACAAGGAACTGATTACATTTTGGTGGTCAAAGGTCAAGGTCACTGTGACCTTGCATCCATCTTATTTTTGTGGGAATCTCAAGAACATTTTAAGGCTGAATCCAAATGTCCAGACTTACCGCGCTCGCAGACTCGCAGACTTTGCTGGTGTGTTCCCAGGAAGTCTGGGAATACTGAGGGCTCCAAATCCACAATTCATCCAGTCATCCAGAGTTCCGGAGAGTCCGCTTTGACTGCAGAGGTGACATGAAGTTGTTGTTTTTTCCAATAGCCGACTAAAACATCAAAACTTATCTTTATGTAGAACAGTACTGCAGAATATTAAAACAACACTTGAATTGTGTCGGTCAGAAATAATATTCAACATCATGATACAGAAATATGTAGAAATACAGGCTGCAGAGGGAAATCAAAATGCAGTGTATCAATGCAGTCTACCCTGTAGGTGGCGCTGTGTAGCGTCAAATATAAAGGCTAGAAAAGGCTGGCTGGAAAAACAAAAGAAGATCTCGTGATGTCACCAACAGATCGACCTGACTGATTTGGTCACAGCTCCTGATTCACAAACATGTCTGTCTGTGTCTGAATGTTGTCATCTGCAGGGACAGATGAGCAGACACAGTATGACAGCTGTTACAGTGACTGTAATGGTTGCTCGATGTTTCCATGGCAACGTGTAAAAGCAGTCTCAGCGGCTCGCAGCCTCTGCCCTCGCAGACTTTACGTGATGATGGTGAACTCGTCACAGTACGCACGACTGAAGTCTGCGAGGGCTCAGTCCTCAAACCCAGAGGGTCGACATCTGGAATGTCTTTAAATTTGGCCCAAACGTTCACCTGGACCGACGAGTAAACTGATTAGAATTTTGTGGTCGAAGGTCATAGGTCAAGGTCAGGGTGACCTCATGAAATATCATCACTGTGAAAGCATTGTTTATGCAGGGAAAACTGACTGAGGTCACATCCAGTGGGCTCGGAGGACATAAGTGTCTGAGAACAATTCTTTTTATTTGGTGCCAAAAAACTTAAATATTTTTGGCCATAACTTAAGAATTCATTCACTAATTATGACAAAATGTCTAACAGGATAAAATAATGAAGGTCAAAGGTCAGCTTGACTGTGACATCATCATGTTTTAACGTCATATCTCAGGAACAGAAGGGGAGACATTTGGTCAGATACTGAATTGGTGACTCTAATCTTGAAACTGTGCTGATTGTATAGATCTTCTGTGTGTGAAGCATCCATGTTTCCACTGACATGGATGGAGACACTGGACTGGGGGGCGGAGTCATACGACCACAGGGCTGTGGTTCTAGTTTTAACCTGAAACGTCTTCATTCAGAGTTTTTCTCCTGGTCAGTCTTTTTGTGTCGGAGAGGAAGAGACCTCTGCGAATAATTCAGCTCCCCGTAAAACAACCCAGTCTCACTCTGAAGTCCTCGAAATC